ATTGATCAGTTTTCATGATTGAAGTAGAAACAGGAGAGGGAGGGGGGAGAATGAAAGAAGAAGAGGCAGCTGTGCAGCGTAAAGACAGAATATCTCCAGCTTTGTGTCTTTTTCATTGTAGCTGAAGTCCGGGACAAACTGTTCCTTTTCACCTCAATAAGAAACGCGTAATATTTTTCTCTGAATACCAGACGGGACGGTTGGCAACTCTAATAACTTATGAACAAAATAAAGTTCAACATCATTAACTTCATAGCACCCACCCAGCTGTATAGAAACTCCGTCATGCTAGCTAGTACGCAGTACGGAAAAAGTCAGAATAACGAAAATGCCTCCACCACTTGCCAATGTTACAGAATCTGTGGAAGCTCCGCGATAGCCACCACACGAAGTAACGAGTAACGACCCTATCTAAATCCCAGTAACGACTAACGCGTTCCTGATTTTGGCATAATAACTAGTTACCGTGCTCGTTACCACAATAATAACGTAGTTACTGTAACGCGTTACTTAATAACGCGTTAGTCCCAACACTGATCATGACTAATTGCAATCAGGGTATGCACAAGAGCATCTCTGAACACCAAACAGTGAAACAGATGAACTGCAATAGCAGAAGACCACACAGTTTGAGTATTGCTAACTTGAAAACTATTTTAAGAAATTATTTGATTCTACTAATAGTAATTACAAATAATTATAAAGTGTACATACATAAATCTAATGCATTGTTATCCCTATCAAGAAGCAAAAATACAGCCTGCAGAAGAAACTGGGGGAGATATTGTTGAAGATAAGGACCAGTTTCTAAGCAGAGGGCAGCTGGCAGTGAAAACAGAGCAGAGAGCTGAAGAGAAGGTCGGGTCTGGACATGAAAACGAGGTTGTAAACTCAGAAGATGCTGGGAATGAAGAAGAGGAAGATGAAATGGAAATGAGAGGAATGGAATCTGAAGCTGTACCTGCTGTTGCCTCTAACCACACTGACAAGTGTGTTATTAAAGGTGATATTTCCCACAATTCTCCAAATGGAAAATAGTAAATACTTTCTTTGTGTTTGTATTAATTTCACTTTTTGGTAACATTTTGTCTTTTGTAAAGAAGGCTCAGAAGACAGAGGAGATGCACAGTCAGCAAACTGTGGGAATGAGAAAGAAGCAAAAGGAGACGATCCTCCTAACATGCCAAAATCTGAAGTCACTGTAAAAACCAGAGATGTGGAAAGAAACACACCAATCAAACAGCAGAATGTGGAGGAAAAAACAGAAGAGGAAATGAGTGAGTTGTTCAAAAACTGAAATAACTAGCATGATTTTTTTCAGCTTTTTTTAAGAGAAAAAAAAATTCATGTATTTATTTTATTTTTTATTAT